TCCAGAAAGAGAATCATAGCAGCTAGAGTCAACACTTGTCTCGTTAATGAAGACTTGTACCACGACGGCTCTAGTGCCACTTGGTAATCTAGTAAAGTCATTGCGGAGGATAAGCATCGATCATGAGATAGCTTGAATCTGCTATCGAGCAGCCCTTTGGCCATAAACTTTCTATGAAGAGTGCACATGGCTCTGTGATACATTGAGCAGAGGCTGAATCTGGAAACCTCTGCTGCGTTTCCTAATGGGATAATATTGCCCTCCATGTGGACCTTTAGGTGTGAAGGAAACTGCTCATATGCATCATACAGGGCCTGGTCAATTTCGCGAACAGTGTCGTAGGTGATAACCGTTGGGGTGTTGTTGAAATCTGCAATGCGTCCGATCGCACGGAAGAGGCGGGTCTTTGCTATTATATAGGTCGTTGCGGTAGGCTCTTCCAGAGGCCTCGATGGCGGGAGGGACGTCGTTCCTTCCGATAACTCCCAGTCGTGGATGTTTCGTGGCTCCATTGTGTCCGAGAATAGTGTCGAGCCCGTTCGAGGAAAGCCACCAAGGAATGAGGCCATATTGTCCATGATAATGACCGACATCCAGACCCGACGTCGATATTCTGCTTGAAACGGCGAGATAGATGGGGAGTGAGAAGGGTCACGATGGTAGCCCATGTTTATTGCAGCTCGTACAATGACTCCTGTCATAATCCATAGTCCGCGACGGTTGTCGTCTTTTCTGTTAAGCTCAGCTGTTGCGTTGAACCTCAAGGTCTCGATAGTGTAAGGAAGGCATTTAGCAATGTCGCCATTGAGCAAACACTGCGCTGTACGGATACGATAGAGCTGAAAGAGTGACTCCGAGATGCCTTCGTACTCTGGCGGTTCTCCGAATTGATGAAAGGAGAGCATTGTGAGGCCAAGGATTGAGAAGAGGAGGCCCAGCCATATGAAGTTTGTGCGGGACGGGTCTTTCCAATGCTCGTTATACTGATGTGTGGTTAGTAGGTAGGTGAATATTATGGCAGTAAAGACATTGATACCTCGCGCATGAAGGTTGGTATGTGTAAGATGGCTTTACAACGGTAAGTCAGCTTTTTGACATTCATTGGACGAGGTCACTCACGGGGCACAGATATTTGGAATTTCTCTGTGTCAAAGAATAGAGCTATGAGCTTATCGACCTGATGCTTTGGCGGTAATGTAGATACAATTTCTATTCGCTCCAGTGGCTTGACTTGACCAAAAAGCAAGCTTGAGCCGTCGGCAATATGCGAGGGAGCAGACCGGACGACCTCATCAGCGATTTCATCCTGAGTTTCGGTCCATGTTTGCTTGAGTGTGTTAATCTGTGAAGTATTAGCTGGCGGGGCTTTACTTTTCAAAGGCACTGGACACAGCGTCAAAGGAGCGGCTGCTGTTCGCTAACATGATAAAGGGGAGACGTGATGTAGCCAAGATCAAACAGTGAATGGACCAACATGGGGGAAGCAAAATAGTCTACAGCAAAGATGGACAGGCAGATTAGAATACTCACCTCTTCCAAAACGTCATACCACTCATCACCCCCTCGGTACACCGAGCGAGTGCCATCAATCATCGTCGTCCCAGCGCATGCGACTTCTGAAGCATGCGACTGCGCACCTTGCAAAGCCTTATTATCGTCAGGTATAGAGCTCTCCGGTGTATGAGGCGTATTCTCAGCCAATCCATTCTTCCGCTCAGCAATCAGCCTCTTGACCAGATCCTCCAAGTGATCGATCCTATTCTTCATCTCATCTCCACCATCCCGACGCGTAGGGGTAGTGCCATTGTTAGCGCCTCTGAATCTGCAGGACGACTGCTCATTGCGAGTGATACAGTTCTGACAAGGCTTCTCGCGATTGCATCTCAGCCTGGATCCGTCAGCCGTCATCCTGCACATAGTATATGTGGTGGATCTACAAACTTCCTAGCGCGGCAGGGATCACATGACAATGGGATCCGGTGGCGCCGTTTTGGTTGGTGCGATGGTCTGGAGGCCCAAGTGGGTTTTGTGACACCATTGGATTCCATAGTGACTGAGGTATAAGAAGCTGGAATGACATGGAGTTGGTTAAGTCCATGGCGATGGCAGGATCCCCCGCTTGGGATAAGCTGGGTGCACGTGACTTATCTCCGCGGACTTAAGGGATCCGACTTATCAACGAGACGCGGTGGTCCTTGATGACTTTGCTTTCCAGTACAATGGTGATAGAAAGATATGCATGGGAATCTCGTCTACAATTGCTAAGCGAAGTAACTCCACCACTTCGTGACTTTCTTGCTTGTGCCCGAGCTTTGGTCAAATTACAAGTATATTTGATGTCCCTGCTAAAGTTCCAGTAAATGGGTGCTATCTGATAAATTGCCCGGCGCTCATAATCCATTAATTCATCAAGCAAAGCCTCGCGTCTTTGACGAACTGTCGGCGTCAATAATCGCTCTTTAAGCCTCAATCAATCCAAGAAGGTTTGCGCGTGCTGTCCTGGTCTTCAAAACTGCCATTTCAGCCGTGGGATAAGCCTGCATCAAGTGTAACGCAGCCTCCTCACAAGCATACAGATTTGTCATAGCCTGCCTTCGGACCATGATATCCGAGCCCTGAAGATCCAACAAACTAGCCTCAACAGCGAACATCAGTATAGTGACTGATGCTCCGGGAAGGAACGGAAGTAGTCCAAGATCCTGCAGCTCCGCGAGTACCTTTTTGATTTGCGACGTGGATCCCCTTAGACCTTCCATGTTAGGACGCGCAGTGCTGGTTTGCTGGCTATGCGTTCCTGTGCGGTATATCACAGCCATGGTGGCTAAATATAGCAGGTAGAGAAAAGCTTTGTGCACTAGAAATACTGTTTCGGTCGGATTTCCATCAAAATCGGCGGGAATGTGTGGTGGATGGTAAACTGCGTTAAGCGGAAGGAATTGAATCCAGGAATAGAGGAGCTTCTCACAACTGGGTCTGATGGATGGCGAAATACTGCATTTAGGGGCGAGTGAATAGAAGCTGCTGCGACGTGCTGGGATTGGAACCCATGCCCCTTCGTATAGGTAGTCTAAGATTGCCCCAACACAGTAGGAGAGTTTGACTAGTTCCTTGAAGAGCATCGCAGACTGTTCTTGGCTAGTGTCGGTAAGCATAGCAGAAGCGCTACCTAGGCTCTCATGAATGATTTCATCATATTCCTGAGATGCATCGCTCATAAGATGAAGGATCGAATCTGGATATATGTTGACTGGCATCCGTGGGGGCCGACGAGATCCAAGCGAGATTGTTCGATCACGGACGTAAAGGCAGCACCACATAGTGGATCTGAAGGAACGGCTATCGCATGTCCAATCTTCATCATGGAGCAGGCCTATTCGTTCCGCAGTGGAGAAGGCGATATCAAGCCAGTAGGACGGCCCTTTGTGGCGTGACATATCTCCATGCCAGAGAGTCATCAGCAAGAGAGCTTGGATTTGGGTATAGGCACATGGTTCGGATTCAAACTCGTAAAGAACCTGCTAGTCGCTTAGTACATATGTAATGTGATGTGTTGTAATCAGTACAGACCTTTGTACGTTCAAATAAAGCTCCCGTTAGCTGTTCCATTTCGTCATTGTCTCGCCGAGCGAAAATACTGCCGGCAAACATGACAGCTTGGTATAGTAGTGGTGAATTGAATTGAGCATCATCTCCAACTATGACTTTTGAGAGAAAATCCCCGAGATCAAGAATTGGTAAGAGCGGATGAACATATTTGACATACGCCGCCAATAGCTCGTTGCGCAAGGCTGGTGGCAAGAGCTGCAGGGCTCCTTTCCTAAGCAAATACTCACTGTCCTCAGGGGAGACCGCTGGGAGTCGACTTCGAAATTTCCGGTCCGGTCTTGTAACATTTCCCTTGCTCGGAGCCAAATAGGAGACTGGCTGCTCGAGAAGTCCCTCAATATCTGAGAGAAGGTTGTCAAGAGGATAGGTAGACAGGACATCAGGCTTGATGGCGATGTGTGGTTGGCCTGATATAGCTTTGGTCCCTGAAACCAATAACTGGGAAAGAGATTCTATAAAGACTGGTGAGTAAGTGCGGCAGACAGTACAACTTGTTACATACCACCGTCGAAGAGACCATTGCTCTCCCAATCATCCACACTGCCGGGACTCTCTGTGTGGGGAATGGAAATACCAGCATGGGTCCCACTAGAGTCCGAGCATGGCGAAGACGAGGCATTAGTGTCAGGAGAGGACGCCGTGTTCGGACTAGTTGAAGACCTTCTGAGTGCCCTATAACATACAATTGTCAGAAGCCTTACTCTAGCGCCAACATTATTCCATTGTATACAAAGAGCAGCAAATGACTCTTGGCTACCAATACGCACGGAAAGCTAGACAGAAAATACCTTCGTGATTTCGTGTAGACACACTTCAGGTTTCTCAAGTTGCATCTGCGACACACAGTCGCTCCTCGTGTTAACTCGCATCGCACCTTTGAGCTCCGACATGCAAGGCAAGCGAGTAGAGGCCGCTGTGTTACACGACTACAGACCTGAGATCGAGGGCAACTCTCCATGTCGGATAATATTTCCTGAATCGCTCCACTGAAACTTGACCAAGAATTTGCGGTCGAGACAGGCCAGTCGACGGGTGCAAGAAGTAAATATGGAATAACAATCGCATCCCTTTCATGACCAAGTTCCTGACCTGGCCCAAGATTGAGCCACCGGACATGTGCAGGAAGCTCATCTTTTCCGGCGGCAATTGGGTCTTCTCCACCAGGATCTACATTCTCACCAGCTCAACGCCGCGGAACATGAAGGGTCACAAATGATTTGTCAATCCCGTGGTGTGCCGGACGATCGGCTTGCCAAGTGCGTAGCCTATCTAGTCTAGACTGAGCTTCTCGACCTTCCCCCGCTCCAGCTTTTTGAGAGTTTCGAAGATCATCATCGTTAAACCAAGGCGCAGTACTGTACACACCAAACAGTGGCAATGTATGTATTTGGGATCCATTGAGCTTTGAGAAACCATTCTTTAAGCATATTGATCGAGCGAAATTGTCTCATGCGTCTTCTAAGTAGTCGAATGGCTGTTGTGAAATAGAAACTTGACGATGCGGAGTCCGAGTATTCCGGGCTCAGGAGTTTTGGTGATCACCGCCGTTATCTCCACCGGAAAGACAGCCACCGGAACTATCACACCAACCCATGGATCCCGTGACCCCTATTATCCGGCGGCTTGCCACATACCATTGAACGCCGCGGACATTGTTGCTACTGTGGACATAAGCATTCTATGTGGATACATGTGAGCATACTAAATAGCAGTTCAACTATCGCGATGCTTGCCCTTCCACCTTCCTCTCTAGACTTTAGCTTGGCCTCAGGAGATATCAACGAGCTACAAGGCTGTACAGATCACATTGACTCCCTCCCGCTCTTTTGACTAGGGAAATGTTCGGCCCCAGTTCCACGTACTGTTTTGATCATCAGGGACCAAGTTAAACATGGCTATGCACGAGGTCAGTCAAAATTCGAATTGTGTTTTGGGAGATCAAGGGCCATTACATTCTCCAAATGCACCAAATGTATCGTCCAGCTGTTGGAAGGCCTGGGCAGGGAGGAAATCATATGGTCCCATTACGGCAGGGGGCGCATTATAGTCTGTGTCCCAGGAACCTTGGACAGGGTCTACAGCGGCCTGCGCTGCGGGTCCGTGAATTGTCCTGGAGCGCCCGGCACTCAAGGAGTCATTCGAAGGGCCGTCCACCCCAGAACCAGTTAATCGCGTATCAGAAGGGCAATGTGTTTCGATATTATCAGCCAAGGCATGTGTTATCTCGCGCTGAGTGGTAACTTTCAGCAGCTCCGTCAGAAGCTGTTCAGTTTGCCTTGCTATTCGATCATGGCTCTTGAGACTTCGACTAGCGCGAATTATTCTTACCACCCCATCCTTTGCCTCGTGAGCGGTGGCCGTTAAAGGTTTCACAGTTGGAGGTATGCAGAGTATCACACCAGCAGTAAATTTTGTCATGGATACAACTGCTATAGCGAAGTGATTCTTTAATGTGTGAACTGGCACGCGAGATATGCGAAGGGCAGCAGCTGTGGCTCGGTCTAGCGCCCTATGCATCGCATCCATGATCGCCCGCGAAGATGTTAGCCTGTTGATTCTTCGCTCCAAAAGCGGTCTATTTGCTTGTATGACCATGCCATCGTACGTCAATTGAAGAACAGCAGCCTGTAGATAGATTGTCTCCACCTGCTGCCTTGCTTGAGGCGGAAGCGTTTGCAGCTGCCCTTCAACGGTCTCCCAGCGACCATCTGCTTTCCAATAGTCAAAGTCATATAATTTCGGGACGGCTTTCCACCAGTCAGTGAGAAGAGCGTTCGACTCCTCGGTAATACGAATGATAGCTTCCAAGTTCTGTTCCTCTATTCCAGATGTCAGGTCAAGTCGACGGAAGCGGATAAGAATTTCGCGAGCGATCGCATACACATCTGTCTTTAAGACGTGAAATGGGGCGCGCGACGTTATTCCGTCGCTATTCTCCACTGATAGATTACTTAGCAGGGAGTGGTCAAAGACCAGGTCGTCGACGAGCTGTAGATGACGAACGTTGGCCGAAGGCAGAGAAGCAGGGCGCCCATAGAGAATCGAGCAAAATGTATCCGAAATGATGATCTGGTTCCAGCAACGAGAGCGTGTCTCATTAGCGATAGAAGGCAGCGACGATGTGCTTGTTTCTTGAAGATTGAGAGCATACGCAGCTCTGAAAGCCATGCCACACGTGGTCCAGGCCATATTTGGAGAGCTGTGGAACATGTAATAGCAACAGAGTAGAAGACAGACTTGCACCCCTTCTATACGGCGGTCCTCCAAGATGTCAAGCACACGGGAACGAATCTCTGTCAGAAATTTGCTCAGCAAATCCTGGGCATCAATTGAGTGCCTGGATAGAAGAATATGACCAGGCCAATCTGCGTCAGGGAGGACTGATTGTAAGCTGATGACAGCGACAGCAAGCACCGTCATGACCGCACCAAGATCCCGGCGTTGCCATTGATGCTGACAGATGATTGGCTGGGCCATTTCTCTAAATGACGGCTCGTGGAGTACCAAAATAAACCACTGCATTCGATCAAAGTAGGCGTTGATCAATGCAAGCATCACAGTCGTTGGGGGCATGGGTGTCTCTTTCAGACCCCATAGTGAGTTATCAGCACCCACCATGCCAACATCACCCGGCACAGCAGCTTCAGTCAAGGTCCGGCCTGTCTCCTCCTCGTTATAAACCTGCCTGGCAAAACCAATCGCCGAAGTACCAGTTGCATATTGTTGAAGGTCCTCGGACGCTCTTCTCGGTAAGGCCTGCGGTGTATCAGATCCGGCGGAAGCCGCTGGGGTGGCCGGTGCCTGATATTCAGAAACACGACGACATGATGCAGTGGTTGTCTCGCATTTGTGACCAGCACGAGTGCATAGTACACACGGACGAACTGAGTCACACTAGAAAAGATAAGAATCGCTCACAGCTGCTTATGTCCAAATGTGGGAGCCTACCTTGAGCTTCTGTCGACGACAACGGTCGCAAGCCTTGGATATTCGCGACCGAGTCGACCGCCTGGAAGCTTTCTGCATGTAGCAATTAGAGCGGTGGCTGAAGGATACGTCAGAAGCGAGGAGACCAATATCTGAGATTCCTGGGCTGTATTGAATAGAATCCGGGGTAGTGGAGAGAATGTGTTCGTGTTTGCCGGTGGAAAATGTGCGGGGACGAATGAAGCCCGCCAAGGAACCTGCGGCTGGGGCCGCCACGTGCGGGGAGTCAGGATGTAAGGCCATAAGGCTACAAGGCCACAACATCATCAAGACATAAAGGCATTAAGGCTGTAAGGCAATAAGGCATCCGCTCGGGAAAAGGTTGCGACCGTCAAACAAATCATCAACATCAACATTAACAAACAATTGACCTCCTTTTGCAAAAGTTGCAAAAGCTTATCCGGGTGGATTGGATCCACCTCACCATCGATTTGCTGTGCGCGCTTAGCCCCTTCAATAAAACAACGGCGTGTGAGCAATGTTGCTATTTCAGTCATTCGCGACATTCTACAAACTGGTCTAGCAGTGAAAGACTGCTCAGCCTGCCCATCACTTGTTGATCAGCCAGCTACCCAACCCAGCGACAACGAAAAGAAGATATTTCTCATTCTCCAGGACGCCGTCGACCGACTACGTAGTGATCTAAGCGATATGTGTGGTGGATATCGTTTTGGCCCCAGCAGCGATGATCACTGGAGCCACTAGAACGTGGCTGTCGTGCCGCGCCTCCTCGGTTTCGGTTTCGCTGCTTAATTGACATAGGGCGATGTCACATGAGATATCCTAGTAGGAATATTGTAGTTATAAAGAATGGTAGGGTTCTTTGCTTGAGCAATACGGTACCAGTTCTATATCCATCTCTATTGCAACAGTTTATCAACCATATACTCCATTGCTCTATCCGCTATTTACTCTGACGCTACATCATACACAATGTCCGCAACTGAACACTTGGATGCAGCCAACTTGGCCTTCTATGCTCTCTTCTCTCTCCCAGCAATATACTGCCTTGTTGTGCATGGCAAACATGGCCTCGTCGGCTGGGCTTACGTTCTCGCCATGTGTGGTCTGCGTATAGCCGGAAGTGCAATGTCCCTCAACGCTATTCACCACGACAAAGTCAACACAACGGCTGCGATCCTCAACGGCATTGGTCTATCCCCCCTTCTTATGGCTGCCATGGGCCTGCTCCATGAAGCGTATGTATCCCGCTCGGGAATTTTACTTCGCAACTAACCACCTCACAGAAACCACTTCATCCACCGCTTTCTCCCTCCTTTCCTGAACCTCTGGGGATTCCTCATCACACACATGGTTGTCGCAGGTGGAATTGGTCTTGCTGCTGCTAGCAGTGGAAACGAGACAGTTCTTCGTGTGGGGATGGTTGTCTTTGCGACGGGATGGACCTTGGTGGCTGTTCTGATTTGGTTCTCATATGGGGCTAATGCCCACAGCCGTCGACTGGGAGAGGAGAGACAGGTTTGTATCTCTCTATTCTTGTATTAAGATCAAGTCACTAACAGTCAAAGCTTCTCTCTGCTATCACTGTCGCCATGCCCTTGATTGGTGTTCGCATCGTCTATGCCATCGTAACCGCATTCACCAGCTCCAATCTTGAAGGTGGCAGTCTGGCCGTGCGCGTCATCTTCGGTACCATCCCGGAGTACCTCATCATGCTCATCTACGTGGGAGTCGGTATCGTCACTCGCAACCTGGCACGCAGTCGTGTCGAATACATCCAGCCGAAGAACCAGGCCGTGCCCGTCTGAACACTCTGACGACTGGTTTACGATCCTTGATGTATATATATAGACTACCTGAATATAATTCTCATCATTCCATTATAATCGTAATCATAACACTACCTTATCATTAACATCCACCACCCCCATAACCACCCCGACCGGCCACTCCATAATCCCCCTCCACACCTCTGGCAGAATAGACTCAATCCCACGAACCTCCATCTCCGAAATACCCCTCAACCACCACACCCCCTCGGCACCCTTAACCAACGCAAACAGATACGCCAGAATAACCAACGCCCTAGGCCTCCGCTCACTCACCAGCCCCAAAAACTCCCCTGGAACCATACTGGGAAACGACGAGAACCTCTTCCGAATATCATACCCAGACTCCCCCATCCTAACCGCCATCAACAACCCCTCCAAATACCCAACACACTGCACATACACCCCCATCACCTCCTCTTCCTCCTCATTACCAAGCAACATATCTACCAAGAACCTCAACTCCCCACTACTCCCCTTAGGCCCCCCATCCTGCACCTCCACATCCCCCCGATGCACAACCGGCCTGGCAACTAACAACGGCGCAATTCGTGCCCTCTCTTCCACAAGCTGATAATACACCATCGACACGACCGTCCTCACCCCGCGGGCCATATTCAACCACAGGTTCGGCGGCTCATACTCACCCCCTCCTCCTGCGCTACCATCAATCCTGCACGCAAGCGTATACAACGAGATTAGAATCGCATTCATACACAATGTCTCCGTAACACCCATCCCCGGGGAAGACACCGCCAACTTCGCCGTCTCAGCCCTATGTCCCCCAATTGCCTGAGCAATAAACCCGCCCTGAACACGTCGCAACTCCTCTGTTTCATGGGGCACAAGCCGTGCGCGATGCGCCGCAGCCACAGCCAGCAAAGTGGACAGAAGGGGCTGGTACTCAAAGGCCATTTCGGGGACGGAGAGTTCCCACATCTCGCGCACGGAGGGGATCTGTGCGGTGCCCATTGTGTGTGAGGTGGAGGTGATGTAGAGGTGGAGCAGGCGGAGGGAGGTGGTGTTAAGGGGGGTAAGGTGGGGGGCTTGCAGGTTGGAGGTGTATGGTGAGGGGGTGGGGGTGGGGATGGATAGGGTTGTGGATGTAGAAGTGGGTGAGGATATGAGGGCTGCGGTGGTGGTGGTAGTAGTGCTGGCTGTGCTTGTGCTTCTATTACTGGAAATATTCTCTCGGTAAGTGTACATGCGCGGTTCGAGAGGCGCATATTCGCAGGGGAGGTTGTGACGATTGCAGTGCTGGCATTTGGGACGAGTTTCGCTGCACTGTTTGTTTTTTGCAAGAGGGTCCACATTAACGCAGTGCTTCGGTTAGGTCCCGAGTCGTTATGGGAGATAGATCCTTTTGGTGGGGTGAGAAAGGGGAATTGATCAATTACCTTGACTTTTCTAGCTTTGCACCGCCGACATCCGCGGGTGGATTTGCGGTGGTTGAGTCGTGGGGGCATGACTAGTAGTTTGACTGACTCGGTTAAAGGTGCAGTACAGGTGCAGATGTGCTGTGCAGCGACAATTTCGGATTCGGGTATGTAGCTAGGAAAGGTGTTTGCAGGAATAGGGACCAAGGGGATATCAAAGCTTGACTTATCTTAGCTTATCATTAGTGAACTGGGCTGTGTCAGGCTGTGAAGTGTCCACTCTGTTTCCACTAATGAGCCGCAGTTTGGGGGCGGATTCGGATCCTTCAACTTGTAGGGTTAGTGTTGGTATTGCCGCTTCGGGTAGAGATCGTCGAGTGTTTGGGAGATAAAGAGTGGATGGTTTTCCCAAGTCGATAGGTTTCTTCATCATAAAACGATAACATCAAGCCTTCTATTGCATTCAACAGTATCTTTCTGACTCTCAAGTGTTCATCACCTTCATCGCAATCCCTTACTCCTCTTTCCTACCAATCAGTCAATACATTATCAACATGGGTCTCATTAAAACTGGTATCCAACTCGCTGGTGCTTACGGCCTCCTCAAGGCCGGATCCAAGTATGTAATCGTACTCATGCATCATTGCGGGTCGTCAGATCTTTATACTAATACTCCACCCCTAGGGCTGCCAATGAATTCCAAGACAAAAAGCAATCCAACCAGAACCAAAGCCAGAACCGTCAATGCTCCTGCTGCCATCACCATCAGCAACCTCCCCACCCTCAACAATTTCCTCCCCACCAACAAGCTCCCCTCCAACAAGTCCCCCACCACGAGTACGGATACAACAACAACACCCAGATGTACCCTCCTCAGGGTGGACCCCAGTACATGAACAATGGACCCAACTATGCCAACCCCGGGCCGCAATATCAGCATCCTGAGTGGCGCTAGAAAGAAGCTTCAGAGTGGAGTTTGGTTTGGGGGCTTTTGTGTTTACCTTTTGGTGGAGCGGGTTACGGGCATGGTTCTATTGAGCGATATGTTGTTTGGATTCCCCTGTATTCACGCATTATAGACCATGATTGCATGTAATTAGATATAGAGAGCGTTTTCGTTAAACATATGTTGCACCATCACTTTCTCCCAGTGAAAATCGATGTCGAGTTACTCTTGGTACATTGGTGGCTCTGCACTTGCTGGCCAGTGCTCCAGTCGCTCAAACTCCGCCATCGGCACATCATACCCCAGGTGCCGCTTTAGTAGTTCATGCGTGACATAACGCTCCGGCGCATTGCCCTGTGCGTCCACAAATGAGACATGTGGATTCACTTCGCTGATCCTTTGCAGCTCGTTAGCGTGCCGGTGGTGGTGCGGACACCCGTCCACTCCAATCAGAAAGATGGTGACGTGGACCCAAGAGAGACCCAGCAGATCAAGTTCAAACTCATCCATGTCGGTTGCTTCGCCATCAAGTAACAGTAGCAATCTCAGCATTGGTGTTCGCGGGCCTGCTTGCCAGCCATAGACAGGGTGGTAGATAGCGGATTCTGAATGTCTCTGGAAATGCAGATCCTTGATTTTCTGCCATCCGGTCATGACGCGTGTTCCTCCCCCTAACTTGACATTTCTCCACATATCGTCGAAGTTCGAGTGGTTGATAAACCCGATATAATCGGCCTTGTTAGCAAAGGTAACCAGCTGGTAGCCATGAAGGTTCTGGTCATGGATGGACATTGCATCCGTGAATCGGCGGATGATTGCTTTGGCAACATCTATGATACTAAGTCAGATAGTGTGATTACTGAAGAGAGGGACCCACGTACCCTTGTTCTTAGGTTGGTTAGAACGGGCGAACCCGGTGACTAGGTATTGAGTGTAAAGTGGTCGAAGAGGGTCAAAGTCCATTGATCCAGACACGTCCAGTAAGATCATCGTATTGTCAGTAGCTGTTTCGGGGAGGTCGAATGGTGTGAATGGAGGCGGCATCACCTGCAGGGAGTAACTCTCTGGCAAACGCTGAAGGCGGAAGGTATCATCCATGGAGTAGTAAGCCGGGGGTGGCTCAACGGCTGTGGCCATTCTCGCACGAGCCATCTCCAGAGCGGATATCATGTCTGGCTTCATGCGAGGTCCCGTGTTTCCCTCTCGATGGTTCAGGACCCAATAGAGCCGCTCCTCGGCCGTATTTTCGTACCCTCTCCAAGCCGGAGTAATACCTCTCCACCCAGAAAGTCCGTCGATGCGAAATTTCAAGGGGTTTGAAGCACGAGTTGCCCAAGCTATTGGGATGGGCTCAAAGTATCCTGCTCGAAGCATATGCAAATACTGAATCGGGCGTTTGGCTCGTAACTCGGCGATTTTCTGCTTCATGCCAACCTTTTCTTGGTAGGCGGCTACGATTCTTCGCCACTCTAAGTCTGGCCAACGACCATTTTCCTCCTCCAGAATTTCCCGTCGGAGCTTTCGGGCGCGAGTAAACATTTCTTCTGTTTTGGAGCTTGATTTATTCAATGACGAGATGGACAGAGCCCGCCTAAAGTTCGATAACTTGGACGATTTCAATGGCCCTATGCTGCTTGGGGCGGGAGCACTTTTGTTTTCTACGGGGCTTGAGGTAGCCGAGGCGTTGTCCGGTTCATCTAATGCCCAGATATCGCATTGTGGCTCCATAGCATCGATTGTGGCCTGTGACTTGTTGTTCAGTGCCACATTCAGGGCAATGGTCTGCCGAACGGAGTTGGTGTATCGTGTTGCATCCGGACGTTGTAAAGTTGTGTACGCAATACCATACGCAGAGGGGATCCGGATATACGGATTATTAGAGAAAACAGACGACTGGTAACAATCGTGATAAGCCTTCTCTCCTATTCTCCGCCATAACCAGAACATTAGTCTTTGTGGTATCTCTGAGCCCAAGGGTGACAGTACAAACCAGGATACATCACTGCTTTGGACCACATCTCCTGCACATCGAGGCGTGCAACTTTCCTCCGCCTGTACTGATGAATTTCGCACGTACAGGCCATGAACTCACTGGCCTCGTGTTCCGGCTCAATGTCGGTATTGTAGATCTGACACTTTATTTGGATGTCCAAAAGCATGTTCTGCATTTCTTGCTAAATAGCCGATGATGTTAGATGGGTCGCACATGTGCTGACGTCGAGGCGTACCTCATCCCGAGCTCGAACATCCCCGGCTTCGGTGACAACATTTTTGTGGGGAACACGTTCTGCTCCGTTCACGGAGCTAATGTGCGATTCATATGATGGGGGTAATGCGGCAATATCAGCATGATCGCTTTGGAGCCTCGAGTCGGACCTGCTAGCAGCTGCGACATTTGAGTATCTATCCGGGTTCTCGTAAAACCGATCAAGGGCCTCATCGAAAGAGCTCGCTTCCTTTGAAGTGCAGAGTCAGTTCCATGGTCACTTCGCTTGGCTGCTTGTGTCGCATACCTGCAAGAAGGAAAGAGCCTTCCCTTCAGTGGCTTCTGGGGCGATGGAGATGAATTTGGCGATATCGTCTGTTGATGGCAACATGGTGACGGTACCAAGGGGTACGTTGGGATGTTCGAACGACAGCTGTAGGCATGGGTGAGGAAGACTAACCTTAGCCCAATTTCCCCTCCTGTCAGCCTCAGCGTGCGGTATTTATCTCTCTGCTGATGGAGGGTTATCATGGATAGGTAACGGTTCGGAATGCGGAGATGGCCCGGGCGCCGCTGGTCTCCGCACCGCAGATTGGCTGGTGCATTGAGGTTTATCGTGACTAAAATGGCGCTATATTCGCCAAGTGAGCTTGCGTGAGATATTAGACTCGAACGAATCAATAAGAGTTCGCTATCTTTGTGAACTCCAATGAGCGCAGGGGGGATTGATGAGACTGTCAAATTGTCGCTAGATATGCTCAATGAACCGTGGTACCTCCTTGTGCATGAAATTGGAAGCGCTTTCGCTGCTTCAGTCGCATGAGAACCAGCAGATCGCTGCAGCGACACCTATCAGCACACTTGAATTCCCGTGGTTTGAGCAATGATATATCGTAAATCCCTCGGTCAGTGACACATCCATGTGAAGAGACAGATGACGCGGAAAAAGGATTGCATGGGGTGATAAGAAACGGAAGACGGGAAGGAATAGCGGCGGCATCCACGTGCAGCAAGTGATCACTTGACAGATGGGGGTTCTCCATTATCACATCAGCGAGAAATGATGGGGAATCTTCGATCTTAACGAAACCAGATCGCCGATTGTCTTGAGAACTGCTAGTAGTAATACCTATCAATTCGGGATGGTAGTTGCGAGTATCATTCCGGGGTCTCCAGCGATATATAAATTGATATATAAATACCTTTAGTAGTATCTATGACATTCAGGGGTTTTCTGCATGAGATAGTTCAAGACCGCAGATGACGATAGAAGGGTTATGCGTAAACCGACCACTCACTACTTATAATTAGGATTGAATTAGAATGCCAATTGAAATCCGTCCTGATATGTGCAAAGCCATGGGAGGGCTGGTCGCAACCCAGGGCGCGTGATTGACAGCCTGAGGCAGCAACTGCAAACCCAACAAAACACGTGCCAGGAACTAACCAATCAGGGAACGGCAAACAGACCAGTCACGGTCCAGACCCGGGCGGGCTTAGCGTGTCAAAGCGGCCTCCCCTAAGAAAAAAAAAAAAGAGGCAAAAAAAAGGGACGCCGATATAAATCTGAAGATTTCCCCTCCTTGACAATCTTCCCCCACATCATAACACCGATCTCTATCTTACGCTACTCCTATTTACTAACCACCACATTCATCATGGGAAACGTAAGCCTCTCGCTGTTACTGACTCTACGCGAAGTCCTTCCTCCTAGAGTGAAGCGACCAGCGACTTGATTGCGCCTTATCAGACTTAACATGAAAATCATCCACAGGGAGCCAAAGCCGCCTCCAAGCGCGAGCGCAACGCCAAGGACACCAAAGCTGGCGGCAAGTCGCAGTTGAAGACCGTATGTATTCTCTATTTGTTGTTTTTATTGATTGTTTAAATCTTGAAGAAGAAGGGGGTAGCTTTTGTAGGGTGGTGTCACGATCTGTGTAGAGAGAGAGAGAGAGAAATGTATAGGTGTGGAAGTGAAAGGGGAAATCTCCCGACGATCATGCTTACGCAGGGATTACAGAACGAAGCTGCAAAGGATATCATCTGCATGACTTGCAGGTCGACTTTCCTCAAGACTACTCGTGCTCCGGCCTTGACTGAGCATGCTGCCAACAAGCACAACAAGACCCTGCAGGACTGCTTCCCCGGCTTTGTGGAGGCGCCTAAGAAATGATGGGAGAGACTGAGATTGAACGGACTGAAAAATTGTTACGAAGCCATGTGTGTATCTGACTTAGCCTATTAAAGTGGCATTTTGAGCGATGTTCATCATCCCGCTAGTTACAGTAAGAAATTGATGTGAAGACTCCATCGAAAAGGAACAAAGAAAGGGAAATTGTCAACAATTTCATATGTATGCACAATAGCGGGCTATACATTACATGACTAAGCATATGCATGTGTATAAACCCCCCGCTATCAGCAGCCATGAACCTCTAGAATATCAGCTCGCTCTCCATCTTAACAGTAGTTTGATATTCTACCATCATTAGTAGTCAAGTTTAGCGGAGTCATGATATAGAGATTGAATACATACTCAATCAAGTTGCCATCCGGATCACGCACATAAACACTCCGGATCTTCCCCACCGCACCTGTGCGTTCCACGACTTTGTTACCTTCGAGGACGTCAATCTTAGCTTCCTCAAGTGCTCTGAGAACATTATCCACTTTGGTGTCCGTCAGAAAGCAGAGGTCTGCGCTTCCTGGCATGACATTCTGGGCCTTGGGCTCGAATTCCTTCCCACTCTCGTGCAGGTTGATTTTCTGGGAACCGAAGAGAAGGGCATGTCTGAATAATGAGGTTTATCAGGGTGACTGAAGAAAGGAAAGACCAGGGATTTATGGTTTACCGTTGAATGTCTGGACTACTAGGTGAAGAGAAGACTTCATGTTCCATCCCCAGGTGGCTTGTATAGAATGCGACGGAGGCGGGGATGGACCGGACTGTCAAGACCAGGTGGTCTAAAGACTTGATAGCAAACTTGGCGGCCATAGTGTTGTAGATGGTACAATTTTCGTTTCGAGGGAACTTGGAGATATGATACATCTGGGATGACTGGACGCGCCAGATGAGTAGTGACTGCTGCGCGGGCTGTCGCAGTTTTCGCCGAGCATAAGGCTCGGCGAGTTATTTTAGGCGCCGAAGGCAACATCATGGTATAGATGTGGTGCCTCGGCTCGTATGGATCCAGCTCTTCGAAGTGTATGATGAGAACTTGTCATGTATATTGGACTGCTTGGCGTGTCAACTGGGTCTGGCATGGGTCGCAGAAGATGCAGTCACACAGCGACTTCTAATGCATCATGTCGAGTTTCGTTTGGCAGCGTATCTTGACACGAGCCGACATCATTATGACCGTATGCATGTAATGCCTCATAAAATAGGGTTAGGCATAAATATTTTGCTATGAATCATTCTATTTGACTGGTGTGTCGTGTTTGTATTGCTCTGCATTTTCCCATACTGCTGCACTTGCTTTTTCGCAATCGAGAATACCGTAAAATGCACCACCAGGGCTATTGATGAAGAAAGGGGAAGGAAAGGTGAATTAATCGTTAAAAAGGTGTAGGGCATCCTTAAGAGCTATTTAGTGCGACTCTTGATGTCGGTTGCATAGAGCGGTACCCACTTCCGTCAGTGAGTACTTTGCACCACGTGTTAGGCGTGCATGTATAGTGCTCACTCTACTCCGTACAGAGCTGCTATAAAGTGCAACATGTGGGTAATAACTAATATTCCCTGCAGCACGTGGGGATAACACCCAAAGTTGTGATGTTGCTTGTTACTTACCAAGATTGAGTAGATATACAGTCTATTATGGGGATGGGCCTCCGAAATGGTACCAAAATCCTTGCATGATGAAATAGTTCACCGTGGCCTTTATGCACATTGCTGTGCACATATTCTGCAGTTAGGCCACCCGTCTTGCCAACTGTCCATAGCACTCTTGCAGTAGTTGCATTAAGGCGTCCATGCCGTTCTGCAAGAAGCACGACAGTCATTGGTAGATGCGTGGTGGGAAAGGCTCCGACACCTTCCTAATTAAGATAGTCACATACTACTTGACTTGACTCGAGTACTCGAATTTACAATCTAGCTGGCCGTCCCCTGTTCCTCTGGGAAGATGTTAATGACCAGACTAAACCAGGGTTTGTTCCGCTCATGCAAGACGGCCATGTTGCACTTAGTATATTGGCGTGGGGCGCGCTAAGCGGAGCCACTTTTACCAGCTGAACAACAACGATACCGTACCATATCAGCCCGTTAGCTGTATCGACCAATGGGCCAATCTTTACCCTAACCCCCAGCCAGGGATACATTTTCATCAGGACTGGATTTGTCGCAGTTTTGCCGAAAGATTAATTTCCTTTTCTTCCTTTGCCGCTCGGATTTTCCGAAACTTATCCCTGCTGCATCCTTTACAAAAACAGGGGTGTCCCGCAGTGTGGAGGCCGAGACTCTTCCTTTGCATCCTTCCCCTCCGATTACACAAGGACTGATAGAAGAATCATGGAGATGGAGAAGACTGAGATTGAACCACGGGTGGTGGAAGCCTCGACTGGCGACAACATCGACCCGGCTTTGGAGAAGAAGCTCCTGCGCAAGCTGGACTGGAGAGTCATCCCCGCTTTATGGTTTCTTTTCTTGGTGTCCTTTATGGACCGATCGAATATCGGGTGAGAATCTCTACCTGCGCAACCAGTGTTCAATCCCAAAAGTGCTAACGATAAAACGTCTTTAGCAATGCGAAAATTGCAGGCATGAGCAAGGAATTGCACCTGGTCGGAAATGACTATAATCTGGCTGTCACAATGTTTACCGTCGCGTACGTTATTTTTGGCATGCCGGCAAATCTGCTGGTCAAAAAGTTCGGGCCGAAGATGCTGGTGCTGTATATGTTCACATGGGGTAAGATGGCTGGCGGTTACTGATAATTGTGTCTGCTAATGCGGCGTCTATGGTAGGTCTTTTCGTGATGGGCCAGGGTCTCGTCAAGACCGCGAGCGGACTTATCGCTTGTCGCTTTTTTATGGGAATGTGTGAGGCTGGGTTTGTCCCAGGTTAGCGCCAGATACATTTCGACTGCGTGAAAGGACGTTAGCTAATACCGACACAATTAGGCTGCGCATACTTGATCGGAAGTTACTACAAACGTGATGAGTTCCTTCGACGATACGCCATCTTTTTCAGTGCAAACATGGCCGCAGGAGCGTTTAACGGGGTCAGTACTAGTTTCTAAGAGTTGCGGCGACACTCACTGACGCGCTCATAGCTCTTCTCGAGTCTTTTAACACCATTGAATCTGGACGGATATAAGGGATGGCGTTGGTAAGATTTCCCCGATACAACATTTGTCCACTTTCTTACAATCTAGGCTCTTTTTGATCGAGTCTATCATTACCATGGGTGTCAGCCTCATCTGCTACTGGGTTGTGGTCCCGTTCCCCGAAGACGCTACATTCCTGACGGCCGAGGAGAAGACATTGCTCCTTGCGCGCCTGAAGGCGGACGGAGGAAGTGTTCGCGATGACCCTATTTCGTTCAAGCGGGTGGTCAGCATGGCTGCTGACTGGAAGATATGGATATGGTGGGTATTCTGCGTTCTCCTATCTCGCCATTGACTAACTGAACCGTCATGATAGCGTGCTGGCCTACCTTGGGGCCGAAGAGAGCGCCAGCTCTCTCGTAAACTTTCAGCCAACCATCCTGAAGGATCTTGGGTGGACTAGCCGCTCCGCTCAGGAACACACCATTCCTGTCTATGCCGTTGCCTTCGTCCTAACCCTATCCTGCGCCTGGCTGAGTGACCATTTACGACACCGATATGTATTCACTATGATTGGCTCCGTGTTGACCATTATCGGCTGGAGCGTCGAGCTTTCACATGTGCAATCTGCCGGCGTTCGCTATATGGGCATATTTTTTGTGGCATCCGGAGCATTCATCATGATGTCTACGATTGTGGTGTGGTTATGCGTCAACCTTGGCAAAGGCGTGAAGCGCAGTGTTGGAATGGGTCTGCTTCCTGCATTCGGCAACTGCGGTGCCTTTGTGTCTGGCAATGTTTTCATCACCAGTGAATCGCCAAAGTATCCGACAGGATTTGGTGTTGGGTTGGCCTTTGCGGTGGTGGCCGGGCTGGCGTGCACGGTGTATTTTTTTGCTTTGCAAGCGGAGAATCGCCGCAGGGACGGCCAACCGGCCAAGGAGGAAACATCGGAGATGGCGCCGGAGGCAGATGACCTCGGGGATGCCCATCCGGATTTCCGGTTTCAATTGTAGGCTTAATCTGTGTGGGCTACCACGATCTGGCTGGGACGGGGCCAAGCTCAATTGATTGGATCCACCATGGCGTGGTCACTAAAATAATACTTTGTACGGCTATGTATAAGGATTACGCCTCAACATCATGTAGCCGACGCTGTCGTAGCACACAGCAGCCTGGGCCCTAGCTTTGAAATATACAGCACAAGCTAATGCTGCGTGATTACGTTTCTTTCAATTCCCTCCACGCCGGAGTACAGAGGAGGAGTCTAAATCAATAGGAGGCAGTTGTTCCTAGAACGACAATCCACGGCATTGGGCACCCATCGCCACGCACCTCCCACTGCTTCTCAAGGTGCCACTCTTCTTAAATCAGAAGTTATACTCACTGGAAATGCAATCGGTCGTCTGAAACTCGCTCATAGTCTGTACTACCTGAAGCACTGGACCGAATTAATGTGGCGGGCGATTTCTCCGGTTTCAAACCCTGAGCGCGCGACCGGCAGGGTTACATGTGCTTAAGCACTCAAATTTAGCGAGAACAAAGAATCCTTTGAGCGAATAAATCATTCGTCGTACACTACGGAGTATTTTGACAGGGATCATGATCTAGCGTGGCATGATATATATTGTGTCTTTATTTCAAAGCGTCGAGTGGCCACTGTTCCGTTCGTGGATCCTGGTATCGGGGCCGTTCCGGCCCTAAAGATACGCCACTATGAGCTGGTCTCATATATGGCCCACCGTGGTTTTATTACTATTTCCTAAATTATTACGCAACCTTCACTAGGTGTACGTAAATTACATACATACCCACCGGAAAATCCCAGAGGCAAGGGTCTGTATGAGCATGCGAACCGTAGAGAGTCTGAATATCCGGCCGAGTAGAACGGTGGATCGATGGTAAGATTGTCTCGAGACGAACAAATCCTTCCAGGTTATGAATTTCGACGCTCACAGAACAAATGAAGGCGGTAGTATTTGGGAAACTTTCCCGGACCTTTCCAGTGGTCACAGTAGAACGCCCGGAGCTGTATACCGGGCATAGAGTTGGACCCCCCAGACTGATGGAAGAGCTAGGCACGGGAATTAAGGATCCCTGTACCACTGGCATAATTTGAAGCAAAAGCTGTTATTAAGCCTTTGAGCCCAATGCTTGGTTAACTACATAGCAGTCATTTTTTGATGCGGTCGATTGTCGTTCGCAACCCTATGGACTCCGTGTCGTAGGCTGGCGCTTTCAGTTCCTAACATCCACCTACGCTCGCTTCCGGTTGTCATTCGTTTTATAATTCCTTTTCTTGTTCTTATTAGGTATTGCTTGCTCTTATTCAGGCCACAGCAGCGTCGTCATGGCGGTCAGTCCGCTGGATGTCCCAAATAAAGGCCCTGAATTTGTCAAAGTTACCGCCGTCTTGACGTGCATTGCATTCGTCCTGGTGGTCTGTCGCCTGACATGGAAGGGTTATGTCCAAGGCAGGTTTGCTGTAGACGATGGGATCATTGCGTTTTCAATGGTAGGTCCTAAGCTCCAGTACTAGACGTTTACTCACCCAAAGCCAGGCCATGCAAATTGTCAATACTGTTATGGGTGATTTAGGTATGGTTTCCTACAATCGGATTGCGACTCATACTAACTGTATCCAGCCTGCCACTATGCCTTTGGACGGCACAAAGCCGACATTGTCAGAACAGGCGGCAACGTTGTCCTTGCCTTGAAGGTGCGAGATATGTTCTTCCAGTCAAGCACGCCCAGCTAATCTTCGGCTAGTACTTCTGGCTCTTCCAGATCTTCTACAAACTTGTCCTATGTCTTAACAAACTTTCCTTTCTCACCTTCTACCTCCGGGTTTTCCCCAATCGCATCTTCCGCACGATCTGCTGGATTACCATCGGTCTCGTCCTCGCTAGCACATTCGGTTTCGTTATAGCCACCATATTCCAATGCACCCCCGTTCGTGCCAGCTGGTACAAGCATATCCCCAAGAAATGCGTCCAGAATGCTCCCTTCCGTTGGTCTTGGGCGGGTTACAATACGGCAATGGATATTTGGGTGTGTTTACTGCCGCTGCCGGTATTGGCGCAGCTACAGCTTGATCGAATCAGAAAGATTGGAGTCATGTTGGTGTTCTGTATGGGGCTTTTTGTGTGTGTGACGAGTATCATTCGCATGTGGGCGATGGAGAAGAGCACGACAACGACGGACCCAACCTGGGGGTCGTTCGATGCGTTGCTATGGAGTGCCATCGAGGCTAGTACGGGAATCATCTGCGCTTGCTTGCCGTTCCTGAAACATCCCATTCAGAAGGTCCTGCCTGGTCTGTTTGGTTCATTGTCAAATGGGTCCAGAAAGAGTCGGAGTCGGACGAGGCCGAGCTATCGGATGAGTCGATTGGGGTCCCGGTCGGGGAATGGCACGCGGAATGTTGATGCGGATATTTGCGGAGATGAAGATGATTCAGAGAGCGTCGGAAGCCAGGGGCCGATTGCGAAGAACCAGATCATCGTGAAGACGGGCATTTCCATGCACAGTGAAGCGGCATATCCATGAGGCTTGCTGGTCTCGGGCAATGAACCGGAGTGCTGGTATTGACACGTCCGAGCCCTTATACCCACACAAGCACATAATTGCATTCGTCTTTGGCATCCCTCAGGCCATTGGTTTCACCCTTATTAGCTTCATCTAAAGCTGACCCTTGCTCTTGGCACCGGTTCAGCTGCAGCCACAGTCCATTCTCTGCTCCGGAGCTTGTCCGGAGCTTGTCCGGCCCTCCGTTAGCGGGGACTTAGCCTGCCACCCGGCCGACCGTAGCGCCCATTAGCCCTGGATGCTTATATTGACGGGTGGATGGTCGGCGCCAAGAGGCCAGGACACTCCTAGCTAGTGGAGACTTCCATCTAGCTGCGTATTGACTTTAGTGTAATACATATCAATACACGACCCCTCCTCGTTGACATGGGTGGATATGCATTAATCCATCAAGTGGCAGCATAAAGAGGAGGGGCTAACTAGGCATTTACATCTCCCTGCATACAATTACTTCGAATCGCAAAAATGTCACAGGAAACGACAGTTGAGGCCGCTCCCCATACTGTGGCGGATGCCTTTCTAGAGGCTCTGGCCGAGGTAAACTGCCTTCAGCTGTCTCATATACCTCATCTCACATTAATAGGCTGGCATCGACTACCTTTTCACCGTGCTTGGCTCAGATCATCCTAGTATTATCGAGGCCTATGTCCGCCGTCAAAATGACCCTGCCAGACAATACCCCAAGATGGTACTCTTCCAACACGAGGTACGTTCGCGAGATCTCAAATGAAAGCTGTGGTACTGATCGCCCCAGTTCGTGGCCATGTCCGCCGCCGATGGATATGCCCGAATGAGCCACAAGCCGGCCTGTGTGATCGCCCACGTGGACGTGGGGACTGCAGCGCTCGGTCAAGGCCTGCACAATGCATCTAGCGGACGTGCCCCGGTCGTGATCTTCGCCGGTGTCGCTCCATCCACCCTGCTGGGCGAAGCTCCCGGTTCGCGCTCAGAGCACGTCCAATGGTACCAGGACATTCGCGACCAGGCCGCCCTCGTGGCACCCTACAGTCGCTTCAGCGCAGAAATCAAGTCGCCGCATAATGTTGGTAGCCTGGTGCATCGCGCCGTTCTCATGGCCACTACTGGCTCCCCTGGCCCAGTGTACCTCACTGCCACACGCGAAATCCTTGCCACACCTATCCCTAGCCCGCAAACCCGCCTCAAGCCTGTCCCTTCTTGTCAGCTGGGCTCTCTATCCCCACAAGCGGTGGAGCTCATTGGCAGTGCGCTGCTCAATGCAAAGTCACCACTAGTAGTGACCGGATACCTGGGCCGGAACCACAGCGCCGTTCAGGAACTGATCAAACTGGCCGACACCATCCACGGCCTGCGGGTATTCGACTCCGAGCTTCGCGAAGTATGCTTCCCAGCTACGCACCCAGCCAGCGTAACGAGAGGAACCGGCGCCGCACCAGCTGTGCAAACCGCAGACGTTATCCTCGTCCTCGACGCCGACGTTCCCTGGATTCCTCGACGCATCCATCCCTCCTCCGAGGCAGTCATCTTCCACATCGACCTTGACCCACGCAAAGAGCGTATGAACATGTTCGACATTGGCGCCGCAGCCACCTTCCATGCCGATACGGGGCTAGCACTAAACCAACTCAATGCACACATCACCTCCTCGTCCTCTCTCACTGATCTCCAGACCAGCTGGACTGATCGACGTGAGGCCCAGAGCACAGCCCACGCCGAAGGCCGCGCCCGTATCGACGCCCGAGCAACCAAGCTCCTCGAGACACCTGATGCACCATGCAACGTGGACTTTCTGTGCAGTCGCATTCGTGAACTTGTACCCAACGATACCATCTTCGTCACTGACTCCGTTACCAATCAAGTCGCCATGACCGAGCAGCTACAACTAACCCGCCCAGGCTCCCACCTTACCAAAGGAGGTAGCGGCCTCGGCTGGGCCGGAGGTGCCTCCATCGGCGTGAAGCTAGCCACAACACGATACGATATCTCTAATCGTCCAGATGTTCGCGTGAAGTCCGATACGAATTCACCTTTTATCTGTAACATCACCGGCGACGGGAGTTTTATCTTCTCTGTCCCGTCGGCAGTGTACTGGGCTAGTCATAGATATGGGTGTCCGTTCTTGACTGTGATTCTGAATAACGGTGGGTGGAATGCGACGAGGCAGTGTCTGGTGGATGTGCATCCCGGCGGTGAGGCGGCCAGCTTGTCGAGTAAGGAATTAGGGATCTCGTTGGTAGAGGATGGGCCGGATTATGGAGGAATTGCGAAGGCGGCTGCCAATGGTAATTTGTGGGCGACGAGGGTGAGGAGTGTAAAGGAGTTGGATGAGGCGCTGAGGGAGGGGGTTAGGGTTGTGGTTGAGGAGGGGAGAGGGGCTGTGGTGGATGTGGTGGTGCAGTGATTTAGAAGACCGTTATCATCCCATATTTATTTTGAGTTGTTGTGAGATTCCTGTGGTTTGAATATAGCAGGGCGATTCCACTTGAGGTGATAGTACTTGCTCTTCAACTGCGTAGGCCGCAGCAAGAGGTTGTTCAGGGCATCTCTTATAGTCGAGGTATCTTTCCCACCCAAAAACATGATACACCTCACCACAGACCTGAACTACACATAGAGAAAGTAATTTCGGTCAAGTCAGCTGTGCCAATATACCAAATCCATATCATCGCACCTCATATTCACAGCAACCCATTTGGTAGGTAGTACCCCGGTCCACCAATCACATCGAATGAATCACGTGCTAAGCCTACCCTCCACTCATTTAACCGCAATCTTATCATCACAAACTCATCCATCAACACTCACCAACACCCATAACTTTCTCCAACATAAATAAAAAGACAATGCCACCCACAACCCAACAGGTCCGCCCAGGCGCAGGCGTTCACATCGTCCTGAAAAAAGACCAACCGACTGGCCGCACAGTCAGCGGTACTGTCGGTGAGGTATTGACGCGGGGTAATCATCCAAGGGGAATTAAAGTCCGCTTGACGGATGGGAGAGTGGGGAGGGTGCAAGCTATGAATACTAATCTTAGCTCTAACTCTAACCTTGGTGGTATGGAAAATTTGGGTGTTGAGCAAGGGGACCTGGAGCAGGGAAGTTCTTGGGGAGGGGGTAGAGGTGGGCGGAGAGGTGGTAGGAGGGGCGGAGGCAGAGGTTATCTGGGTGGTGACGGGGATGAGGGTGAGGCGCTGGCGGAAAGTGTGGGGTTGGATGCATATGTTACTTCTGGGTATGGCGGGAGGCAGAGGGGGAAGAAGGGGAGGGGGAGGGGTGCTGATGGGACTGTGGATGGTGTTGATGAGGTGGTGGTTCCTGGTGTGGAAAGGGTAGGTAGTATGGATGCAGGGGTTATTCGGTGCCCGGTTTGTGACGTGTTTGAGGGCGATGAGGCTGCTGTTGCGCACCATGTTGCGGAGCACTTTGATTGAGATATCCCCGATGACTTCGTGGACTATCTCGTGGGGTCATTAATATGAGATCTAGACGTCGCGGGTGTGAAACCGATATCGACAAAAGAGAACCCCTGAAGCGCACCACTGTCTCTAATCATTTGCCAGGCGTGAGACGTCACTTCATATCATAAATGGCGACCTGCACCACAGCAGAAACCCCTATCAGACACAAGCACATCTTTGCGTGCAATTCGACACACCATAATACATATGTTGCTCCGATGATCTTCACCACCTCCTGTACCCGAAGTGAGACCCTATTGAACGCTGCAAATATCTCCCCAACACGTCTGCCCCGCTGCTGCTGCCGCCCCCCTGGGTTCACCGGCGTAGAGACCAACGTCTCACAGACGGACGGCAATAGACTGGTCTGAACGAGAACCAACGCTATAAACGAAGGGAAAAGAAGCAAGAACTGTGCGGCGAGCATGACTCCTGACACTAAGATCTCGAATCCCACGATGCCTGACAAGTGCGCTTTTGTGACATCTGTGCTAGCGGATGAGGCGAGGTCGCTTTTGAATAGGGCAGGAAAATGCATCATGAATGATTCAGCCACCGCATGTAGTGCTGTGGCCGGCACCAAAGCTTTCCATCGTTGGCGATCGCGAGAGTTCGGCACAAAGCGTTGCTGGTCGCGCGGAAGTATGGTGCGCGCGTTCCACAAGAAACGATCTTCAGCTAGCAGCACCGAGGCTACGACGTACGCGACCGGACGAGGAAGGAATATTGCTCTGGTCAACATTTGCTTCGTGCACAAGTGCTTTGCCCAGTAGCTACATGCGGAGCCAATTCCATTCAACAGGAGACGGAGATTGCCCGTGCGGTAGAGGGTGGCGATGGTTTGGAATAGTTGACGGCTGGATGGACCAGCTTTTTTGTCTCTGAGGTCAGAAAATGAGCCGAGAGCTTGCTTCTCCACACTCTCAAGTATCAGAATAGACACCAAGACATGTCCAACAATATACCGGACCTGAAGTCTATCAATATACCTTTGTTGTGTGATTTCTCAATCTCATGACTTACCAGGCCGCTCATAAAGATCTGTAAAAAGATAGGCACCACCAGTAATACATTGTTGGAATGTGTAGGTTCATTACGCCATATCGCATGAGCTTGTGCAAGTAGCGGATGGCCTCCAGCGGAAGGGATAAAGGTATTGAGCAGAATACGAAAGAGACTTAACAAGAAGTGTGGGGATGGAACGTATACCATCATGCTGTTAACAAAGAGTCTACAAGAGAAAAATCGCAATCGAAAACAGCAGGATGACCGGAAGATAAAGCTTCTGCGGTGCAAGGCTTAGGGTAAAAGTGGAAAACACCAGTTCCTTTGATCGATAGATCCAAACTACTTAGACTAGGCAGAAGCGCAAACCGCCAATAGAACCCGGTAGTCAGTGGAGCTGAGGGCGAGACCCTTTGTATGGGTGGGGCTTATCTAGCTACTTTGACCCCCTATGGGACCCTGAATAGACCCTTATTGGATCATGATGTGAGACATTCTTGCTTGTAAGACGGATGGGCAGGTAGTAGTCTAGCATACACGTGGCTTCAACATTATATAGTCTTAGATGACACAATGAAACAAAAAGCCGATATGGCCACGGTGTCTTGTCCGCGCATGCTCTTCAAGATAGTACTGTGGCTTGGATATTCATGTGCTTGATTGAGGGTGCTGACAGAGCCCTCCATTAGGGCGTGCAGCACGGCCCCATTGGGTCCATGACTTCAATGAGATAGAGTAAGGGTAGGAACTATAATAAACTGCGTTGGTGTTCGGGGCCATATTCTTTGCTTCAAACGGTGAAGCACCTGCATAGCTAGCATCTTACTTAGCGGGCTCGATCAGGTATAAGAATATGAATTGAATTGAATTGAATAATAAACTGCGTTTAGAATTTTGATACCTCTTACGTCTGTCTTATTGGGCATCATCACTTCTGGACATCCACTATTGGGTAAACCAATAGTGATTCATATACCTCCAGTTATTAACATTCTATGGTCCGTCCTCATGACTGATATATACAACCTTGGCCCCAATCTCACTAGGAGCGAACTTGGCCAACGTCCGCTCCCTCAAGCTAGCACCAAACAACATCAATACAACCACGAACCCAAATGCAAAAATGGAAAAGAAGGCCATCATTCCATATACCCAACCAAAGCCCACCCGGGCAACCCACTGGTTGATGAAGAACGGCACAACCAACCCCAGCGTGAGACGATACGCGCCCATGAACGCACCCACCTCGGTGGGCTGCGAAGCGACGCATTCGATCATATAAGTCACAGCGACGGGAACAGAGCTCATCGAAGCAAAGGTGATGAGATAGGCACCTAAGGCGAGGACCATGTAGTGTAGATGGTATTGTAGAGCGGAGCCGACGATGCCGAGGCCGATGGGAAGAACTATGAGCGACGGGATCCAGAGGGCATGTAGCCGACACTCGGGCTTCCATACACCCTTTTCACGTGTGCGGCAGATCCAGAGAGCGATGCGGTCATTGCAGAGGTAGCCCCATAGTTCGGCTGTCAGGAGGCCGACCCAGAGGGAGAAGATGACTTTGGGGGTTAGTCTTTGGTGTAATCGAGAGGAAGAGGAAGACGTACAGAGGGCGTTCCGTTGAGGACTGAATCCCCATCCGCCGACGGAGACGGGTTTCTCCAGCCACACAGTCAACAGGCTGTGCGTTGCGACGAACCAGCCGAATGATGCTAATTGGAAGATACCAATAAGAAGGCCAACGGGTGAGAGACCGATGCGGAAAGGTAGGCGAGCGATGCGACCCTGCATCTTGAGTCAAAAATTGTTTGATAGGGGGAAGAGATCAGGCCTACCAGTTCTGCGCGGGATATCCCCGTCTTATGAGGAAGCAGGGTCGCCATTCGGTTAACCCAGAAGTTCTTAGGCTTGACGGCGGATAATGTCTTCCCGTCACGAGAGTAGCTGGTCTCCTCCAGGAAAAGGAACGCTACAATAAGATAAGATAGATGCCCACCTGTTATTCATTTCAGGGCTATACACCTACCAAGAATCAGAACGACTCCCTGTGCAATGACGATCCACCAAAACACCCACGGCCAGTCGGTATGTTGGACGATGAATCCCCCAAAGGTCGGGCCCGCAACAGTACCAAACAGAAAGGAGACATGAAAGATGGCATATGCCTTGCCACGCTCGTGCAGAAAGAACATGTCATAGACCGCTCCCACGCCAACGATAGATGGAATTGAACCAAAAATGCCGTCAAAGAGACGCGATGCAACGAAACGCTCATAGTCTCCTCTACTTGTCATGCAAGCAGACCAAATCGCACAGGCCATGGCAAACACAAGGCACCAAAATATGATGGCAGTGCGACCAAGGGCCTGCGCCACGGGATTTATCAACAATGGCCCATAGGCGATACCTGCAATTGAGGCAGATATAGTGTACGTGATGTCTATAAGTTCCTTGTTCCAATTCTTTGCCTGGTCCTTCATAGCAAGTTGGTTGGCGAGATCCAATGCGGTCCCCGCGAACCCTGCCATGCAGAGAATAGTCAGGTTTCTTAGCTTCCTTCCTCTGGTCCAATTCTGGTGAACAGTCAGTATTCAGTGGGGACAGAATTAGTGATGAAAGGAGATAAATAACATGCCAATGGGTCTTCAGGATCCTGGGATGGTTGAGGAACTAAGACGATGCCGTCTTTTGTCCGTATCCTGTCACTTGATCGGTCGAAGGATTTGAACGCCGCATGATCCTTGGTATCCAAAGCATTAGATGAGTCATATTTAGGCATAATCATTTTTCTGCGCTCTCGGCACAGGTGTGGAAGATATTGTTATTGACAACAGGGATTGCGACCGCGACCGCGCAAGAGAGTTTGGGAAAAGCAAAACTTCCGACGGCAATTTGACAGGGGGTAATGTGCTCACTATATGCTAGATCCTGTGGAACGAACGGCGCCCTTTTTGTGGGACATGCTAAGTTCTAGGCCATCCTGATTGCTGGACTAGACCGGGGTTGTCCCGAATGCCTGCATCCGCCAGCCTCTCCGTCCTACGATGGCGCCTCAGAGTGACCGGGGTTTTTTTATGAGGCATGCCTTCTCACCATCCTTGAATATATTATGGCCTTAGTGACTTATAAATATTTTTATCTAGCAATGCCTGACAGAGACAAAGAGTGAAAAGTTCTGTCATGCCGAGGACACGATGGGGCTGACCTTGACGGGCACGTACAACACCAGACAGCTAGAGATTGTCATCATCAACAGCATCCTCGTTGTATTGTCAGTTTCAGCTGTTTTTCTGAGAGTCTGGGCACGCAGATTACAAGGCCTGAGACTGTTTATAGAAGACTACCTGAGTATTGTCGCTCTGGTAAGATATTCGCTCGTGCCTTCCTGCGAAGATGTGCTAATGTGATCAAAGGCCTTGGCTCTTGCAGTTAATGCACTTCTCTTCCAGAGTGATTGATCCTCCTAGTCAAAACCTTTCAAGACATGCTCGCTGACAGAGAATTGAAGGTCTTCACGCCGGGGTTGGGGAACATGTCGATACGCTTTCCGCTGCTACTGTTCAGGAATATTCCTTGGTATTTGCATTTATTTCCCGCAGAATAGAGGGATAGAGCTGATGCTGACCACGAATCCTGGGGGATAGAACCTCTATATGATGCAGCTTTTCTGGAATACATGCCTTCCGGTCATTAAGCTGTCTATCGTCTTATTCTACCAGCGCATTTTTCCAGTCCCTTCCATGATATTTGCGTGCCGCGCGGTCATGTTGTTTTTGGCTGCGTGGTACGTTGCATTTCAAACAACAGCCATCTTCCAATGTGTCCCAATACATCACGAGTGGCAGAAGAAGACCACTACTGGGCACTGCATAGACTTTGTCCCTTTTGTGATCACACTAGCTGCGACCAACTTGTGCACCGATGTCCTTTTGTTGGTTTTGCCTACACGTGAGATCTGGAAGCTCCAAATCCCCTGGCCTAGGAAGATCGGTTTGTCGATTATATTTACTCTGGGTGTCATGTACGTTGTCTGTAGCGCAGTCTTCCAGAAACCCAGCGATCTGACCATCATGTTTGCTAGTGTCTGCACCATCTCGATTGTCCGTCTCGAAAACCTGATTGCAATCAGTGATTCAGATATCACTTGTATGATTTCTATTGCTAGTCACTCGTGACGAGACTTACTAATTCAATTCGTCTGATAGGGTCAGATACTTACTCCCACCTTTGGACTGCGATCGAGAGCAGCCTCGGGGTGGTGGTATCCTGCCTGCCAAGCTTGATGCCAATTGTGCGCCTAGTAAGGGACAGGAAATTGCGGCGCAGCGGAAAATCTTTTAGTCGTCCACAGGATGGCTCATCTTCCTACCCGAGTTACGTGCGACCGCCATACGAGCTGTCAAAGCTGTCAAATCATGTTACCTCGGGAGGGAGTCGGACAAGACATCGGTCGGGAAGTAGTCGCTCGGACTTAATCCAGAAGGCTGTTGGGGATATTGAGATCGTCACTGAGATTAATCAACAGGTGGAGTCGGCCAGTCAATGTGGCTTCGAGACTTAGCCTACATCTAGTGGCTCGATCGGCCGCTTAACCCTTGCCAGCTCTTTTCATGAGCCTTGGCCCCAAGCATTTCTTATTGAGGTTATACACCAAAGGAACATTCGCTCCGAAATTTAATAAGTCGGAAGATTACTTTTGAAGCATAGACAGTGGGTATTGCATATCAAACGACGATGATGTTATCATTGTGTGTCACTTGGTCTTATTCCCGTCCTAAATACATGGCCGACCGTGGCTGCAGTGTTCTCATCGTCGCGGAGGATGATAGGCTGATATACGTACGCCGCTGATGCAGTCCCTTGCTAGGATAACTCTTAGCGGCATCGCTAATTCCTCTCCTGGTCTCGCCACGAGTCAGGGTCACCGGTACGCGTACCCCGCTTGACAAAATATGATCGCTTGTGAGTTCGAATATACTGCCATTACTCCTGGAAATTCAGGTCTATCTTTTAGCAACGTCTTCGCGGGATCTCTGGAGGGAATATCATAGATCATCTCAATAAGCTTTGGGGCACCCTTGGCAGGCTTGGGGGACGGCCGGGGAACGGGGGAGCCCGACCCGGTGTGCTTAGCAAGCTCACTACCACATCCTAGCGTAGACGCTAGGAGTTATCTGACCACCAAAGAACCCTCAGCTCCCGAGGGCTAGATAGTAGCCATTCCGAAGCAGCTTACCCCTCCTTCTAGCCCGCGTTGCCGTTCTGCCATGTCAAATAACTGACCCTGCGTATGCCAACGTAGCGCACTAACCGGATCGCCTGTGAAGATCTGCCCAGCATTCTGCATGCAACAAGAACCCATCCAAACATGACCGTGTCCGACAATGACAAACCTCTCCGAATTGCCATTATCGGTGGCGGTATCGCAGGTGTCACCCTCCTCCTCGCGCTGCTGAAGCACACCCCCCGTCAGAATATCGTACCACACCTCTATGAAGCCACCCCGGAGTTCTCTGAGATTGGGGCGGGGATCGCCTTTGGGTCAAATTCCATTCGTGCCATGGAGCTCATTGACGCCGAGCTAGCAGCAGCATACAATCGACATGCGACATTTCAGCCAGATACAGGCGCCTTGGATAAGAAGCTTTGGTCCAGTTACCGAATGGGAATGGATGGAAAAGGACCACCGTCGAACAGTCTGAAAGCAGGCGAATACCTGCACGAGGTGCATGCGCCAGTTGCAAGGAGCAGTGTTCATCGCGCACGGTTTCTCGAGGCTATGACGGCACTACTTCCACCTGAAGGGGGGTACGTGAGTTTCGGCAAAAGACTGGTATCGATCGATGAGGGAACAGACGGAGTCACCGTGCACTTTGCAGATGGGACTTCCGTTTCTGTCGATGCCGTTCTGGGGTGTGATGGAATCAAGTCTCGAGTGCGGCAAATTCTGCTTGAAGGAGAGGAGGCAGCCAATGCTGTCTTCACGGGTAAATATGCTTATCGAGGTCTGATCCCAATGGATGAAGCAGTTGCCGCTCTAGGAGAGTACACGGCACGCAATAACCATTTCCACTGGGGATATGGCGGCCATCTATTAACGTTTCCGATTGAGCACGGAAAGACAATGAATGTCGTGGCCTTCCGAACAAAGGTAAATGGTACCTGGGAGCATGGGTCACAGTGGGTGTTACCGGGAAACAAGAAACAGATGCTGCAGGACTTTGAGAGCTGGGGACCAGATGTCCGAGCCATTCTGTCATTGATGCGAAATGCAGATATATGGGCCATGTTTGATCATGCGCCCGCCAGTACCTATCATCGGGATGGTCGCATCTGTCTCGTGGGAGATGCAGCCCATGCAAGTACACCGCATCAGGGCGCCGGAGCCGGTATGGCAGTGGAAGACGTCTTTGTTCTATCTCGTCTCTTGGGTGAAGTCCGTGAGAAGAGCCATTTGGAGCGGGCATTCATGGCGTATGATGCCGTGCGGAGACCACGCACTCAGCAGCTTGTGCGCACTAGTCGGGATGCTGGCATGCTTTATGAGTGCCAAAAGGAGGGTGTGTGGGATGACGTTGACAAGATTCGCGAGAATTTGAACATGCGCATGCGCTGGATCTGGGAGCTAGATGTGGAGCAGCACCTGCAAGATGCGTTGGATATTTTTCATACTACTACAAACGGACCTGTGTAAACACTTACTTCGGATCGCAACGTTGTTTTCTCTGCGTGCTTTGTAGGGACTGCTGTTGATTGTATATTGAGCAATAAAGTACATATTCCTATAATCTTGGCACGATACTAATGGACATGTAATGGTAGGCCTGCAAGCGCAATTCGCAATAGCCGGATAGACACCAAGGTGTAGCCCCGGAGCCAAATACTCATAATCGGTTATACTACCCCACGGACCGTTCGAGAACAAACACCAGCTTTACCAAAGCGACTAAGGCATTCGGAACCAACTTGGCATGCAACATTTGGAATTTCCATACCAATCACGCAACAATGCTATTAGTGAAGAGTCTCTAGTATCGACATTCTATCATCGCTCGATGGTGATTTCTATGTGGTGCCCAACGGCAAAAGAATTCTTATCATAGGACTGATGAAAGGGGAATTATATGGGTTTCTATACCTCTAATATATCCTGACGTCTCTTGATCGATAGACCGAAAATGACACTAGCTAAACACGAACGGCCTCAAACAGAGCATTGGACCCCGTTCCCTGATCGTCCGAGCGCCACACTTTGACGACCTTGAATCCGGCACGCTCCAAAAGACTCAGCCACTGCTTATCCGTGCGCTCCAGCGAAGAAAACATATTCATCATTATGAGATCGACGCTGGTATTGAACCGCGGTACCTTTGTTTCGGGAACAGTATTCTCATTGATCAGCAGCACGGAATCGTCAGCCATTGCCTCCCAAACACGTTGCAGCACCTCTAAGGCCTGCTTATCCGGCCAGTCATGCAGCACCGTCCGCATATAGTAAGCCTTGGCGCCACGCACTGGCTGCGCATCGAACATGCTGTAACTAACGGCTTCAACGCCGTCTGGAAGAGGCTCCTTGATGTCCTGAATAACCCCAGGGAGGTCCTGAAGCACCAGGCGGCCAGTGGGGTTTGTCCTCTTTTTGAAGGCTTGCAAATCGTGACCCTTGCCGCCACCAATGTCGACCAGGAGTACGCGATCTTCCTCCACATTGTCACCGGTGGCCAGTGACAGCCGCTCTTGCCATGGGTAGAAGTCATACCACTGAGCGCCCTCCACTGCGCGATTGCTGCTCTCCATCACTGTGTTGAAAGCATGCTGCTCGGCCGGGTCCTGTGCGAGCCATTCGAAGTGGTGCAGGGTGGTCCCGTACGCTAGCTGGAAAGGAGTATCGTAGGCGTCATCTGGGCTGCGGTATCCTCGGGCTTCGAGGAAGTCATGCGTAAATGCAGAGGCACGGAAGTTGACATGGCTGAACGTAAGGTTTAGATGTTAGTCAAACGATGTTTCTCCCCCATCCTCGAATCTGGGACTGGGTCACGTACAAGTTCTTGATAACCTCGCTAGGCGGAGCGCCTGTGGCGAACGCCAAAGCTAAAGGCTGGGGCTTATACTTTTCGACACCGGGTTCGGTGAACAGGCGATTAGCAATGAGGAGGCGCATGATTCTGACTGTAGCGTGAATGTCATCATATTAACAAAGGATTGAGAAGGACTAGGGAAATTGTGCTGCTTGGAAGGAATCATCTTACCCAGCAGGTCCTTGTCGCCCTTGGTCTTTTCGTTCAACTGCTCAAGAGACAACTCAACACCGCCGGTAGCGGCGAACGCATCAAAGACTCCCATTCCAATAGCAGTGCGGATTGCGACTAGAGGATGATGCTGCGACCAGATACCGGTGGCATCGGGTTAGCTAAGTTCGATTTGATTTTTTTCTTCTTTTTTTTTTCTCAGAACAATCCAGTACTAGGCTCCTTACCGCCCAGCAGATGTTCAGCACTGTCTGGATAGGGGGCTCTACGGCCACACGCAGTTGGTCCAACACATCGAGAAGTTCAAATCGTGCTGAGTCTGGGATATCGTCGGTAGGCGAAAGCTTGGGTAGTGCTGCTTTAATAGTCGCAGTTACGTCGGCGATGGTTTGAGCCATTATGGATGATTGGGGAAAGAGAATGCGGCAAGCTTGAAATATGTGCTAACAATATGGGAACCTGGCTGCGCAACTTTTGGAAGAAAACCCGGGGAATCGAGGTGGATCATGGCTGGTTTTATACTATGCTCTTGATCTCCGCCTGATTTTATGACGCGGTCTACTACCCGGCTCTTTCTAGCCGCATCCCACGTTGCGCTGGAGGGAGGCCAATAAAGAAGACTGATGGACCGACACAGCGGCTCGGGCGAACGAGATCAATGCGTCTAGTGGATAGTATCGCTCTTGACCTTCGCTTCTACGCTGCTTGTTAGGGTAGTACAGTCAGCGCTAAGGCGATATTAGCTGAATAGCTCTTGTCAAATTAGCGTTGGGGAGTCGAACGATTGGTTCTCAGTATAATGGAATGGGAGCAGGAAATGATGTCAGATGTTGATCACGCCATACCCCTTAGGGAGATTATTTAGCGATGCACGGCCCATGCGAGCCCTGCGTCTGACAGACAGTCACGAAGGGTTCAGGCCTCGGACCCCTAATCCTCCCCTCCCCCCGTCATTGGTGCGGCTGAAATACGTAGTAGCCATTGTTCTCCACCTCCCTAAGCTACCATGTTCTATACGCAAACCCCGCCAAATGTTTGTATTCTTCCGCTCTTTTGCAGTCCCAAATTATAAATATGCGGAGATCTTGACTTTAGCTTGCAGCACGCACGACCTCGAACATGATTCTCGACCTCGCATCACATATCCTCGTGATCTGGAACTGTAGTCATCTCCGACGACTCGGACTTATTGCGGAAAGAATTTCCCGGACGCTGAATGGGCTATCGCGCTGACAGTGTGGTAAGGTGCAAAAATAGCGGACATAAACTGCGGGGAGCTTGTACTCCAAACACCCTATTGTCTGCATTTAATGCTGCCAGCATCCATTTCAGCAATGGTTATTCGACGACTGCTACATGCTTTAAACTTGAAAAAGTTGAGTCATCACCACTGTGCGACACTGGGATAAGAGATACGATGCTAACAGAAAGAGGACTCATATCTTCGATCACCTGTTGCGGCACGTGTGTATTCATAGTTGCATATAAATCCAGCAGTATTAATATTATTCTTAGGCGTTATACATTAAAAACGCGAAGAAAAACGTTACCGCCTCATTGGGAGAATGAAAAATAGTTTGGGACAGCAAAGAAACCAATGTCTATGACATCTGGATACAATATCCACTCGAATCGCAACAAAGTAAGTGGCTCCGCTTCGGATCGTCGCCGGATGGGCAGCTGTCGGTCGAATTAGAAACTGGAATATTATCACAATTGCCATTAAGTTCATAAGGCAGTCGGACCTGCTCAGTGCAGCAGAAGCAGGCCCCAACTTCTGGAGAAGGGGTAGCGGTTTGGGTGGCAGTCATTGTGGATATTTGCATGTCCGTTACGGTGGTTGGTGTGGGTTTGGCTGTGACAGATTCCGTATTGGTTATGGTCTCTGTAGCCGTGACCGACTCTGTGTGGTGCATAGTTTGTGTATCTGTGATGATCTCCATGTTTGTGAAAGACTTGGTATCTGTGATTGTCTGTGTAGCCGTGAGTGTGTTGTTGATTGTAAGTGTAGCTGTAGTAGACTCTATGTCAGTCGTTGTGTGAGTTGCTGTGAGTGTATTATTGATGATATGTGTCGCCGTAGTAGGCTCTATATCAGTCGTAGTCTGCGTGGCTGTGATGGTGTTGTTGATGGTCTGTATGGCTGTCAGGGATTCTGTGTCAGTAGCAGTCTGCGTCACTGTATAAGACTGTGTGTCGGTGACTGTTTGCGTAGCTGTTGTAGGCTGCGTTTCCGTAACACTTTTGGTGGCTGTCAACGACTGCTTGTCCGTTACCGTCTCTATAGCTGTGGTAGACTGTACATCAGTTGTAGTTTGTGTTGTCGTAAGCGACTGTGTGTCAGTCGTAGTCTCTGTAGCCGTTACGGATTCCGTGGCGGTGGTAGTTTTCGTAATCGTGGAAGATTCCACATCGGTGAGTGTCTCCGCAGCAGTAAGCGTGACTGGGGCTGCGCTTGAAGAATTGCTCCAAGAACAAGTGCAGTTACTCTCATCCCTAGGTTAGATATGTAAGATACGTAAGCAGCACAGCTCGAAGCACCTACGGGGTGTTCGTGCTAAGTAAAGGAAGCCCGAGAAGATTCAGAGACGGATTGCCCCCACAATTGCCCCCGCTACTGCCTGCCATTCTACACTAAGAGCAGTTAGCTAGCCTCTCCCATCGAAGTATTCGCGCAGAAAGATATTCTTACTTCCATATCGCAGGCCTCAACATCACATCCTCGCAGGGCGACGCCGAGATTAATGTCACTGGGAAGGGCAATGACATAACTGAAGACCGTGAGGACAACCACGCGCTCGATGTGCATTTTGCAATGTAAAGCCTCTTTCGAGGCTTCTAGCGTAAGTCGAAAGTGGATCGATGCCTTTTTTAACCAGCACAAGCAACGCCGGTTGATGTCGATAACGCTTAGTTACTTTCCAATACGAGACAGGGCTACGGGGTATCTCCTTTATTAAAGTTCCTGGGTGCTGTCAGTGTACGGAATGTGGAATAAGAGAGCGAAGACTAAAAGCAGCCAAAATATTCAGACCTCAACATACCGCAGCAGTTAGCCATAGGGTCAGAAGGAATATAGTGATATAGACATGATAGGAGCCAATAGGGGAACACACGTGTCTCGCCAAAGCTACCCTTCCAGGTGCGTTTATCTCTGTTTGGTGATGCAAATATGCAGGGGGTGGGACTTATGCCAAGGGTTTCCCTTTGTGGCCAATTATGCCGAAACAATGCTGGAAATGGGTCTTGTCAGTTAGTAGCTGGTTGCATGGCTGTAGGGTTGCAGGGCTGCATGGGATATTGTTAATTTTTTCCAAAGTTAAAAGCTTTTGTAGGAGTCGAAGATATTATTGACTAAAGCCATTGGTGATCCTGGTCACCGCTGTATGAGGAATTGTCCATTTCTTACTCGCAATTCTAACTGCCTTCTTACCGAATCCCCATGCTGCAAAGTGCACCCAGCGAAATAGTACCACTTGCTGTTATTTTGCGGAAAATATTGCCGGCTGTTGCACAACGACAATAAGGTGATTATTTCCACGTATGCCTGTGCATGCCTGAACCTCCGATCGGAAGATTCCACCGTCGATCTCAGCATAATATAGTGTCGCGTCATGTAAGGTGGATATGCCAAGTAGCTCTTAGAATCCCCAACGATGATAAGAACCTCGAATAGGCGTAATTGGGGTAACGATTGGCGTGACTGTTATGCCACATTCCACCCTAGTACCGGCATGGGTTATTTCCGTCTGGCGACCACAAGAAGCGCTAACCCAGATGGGTGCGTTAGCGGTCCCTGCTACTCCGAAGAGATTTACTATTGCTGCTGGCTGTTCAAAGAGATACAATGGCGAGAAACAAGCCAGCCACGGACCACGGCGAGGAACTTGCATACTGGGTGCTGATCAACCTAACCTTTGCACGGGCGAAATTTGCCCAGAATTAATTTTGAGGATCAACTGAAACCATGGTGCCGATCCGCTCTCCCTGAACAAACCCCTGCCACAACGTGAACGCTATTTTTGTTCTACGTATATGGATTGGAAGTGATCTTGGTCCGGCGCTATGGTCCCTGGCTGGCACGGTTCCTTGGTTAGAGGCCGAAACCGGTGTCGGACCCTGAAGTCGACCTCCTGGCGGCTAAATATTTAAAGCGACTTGAAGCTCAAGTTGAACTTTACACAACCTCAAACGGACATGAAACTGCAGTCGAAGCAACGCCGCCCCACTGGTTCATCCAGCTTTCTGGCTTTCACGCACTACCTGGCCTGGATGCAGAAAAGGAGACCTTTACTTGGTGTTTTTTAGCTTCCGCATGGAGGAGCTCGGTAGATCCACGAATCCTGAAACCATCGCCGGCACCTTCGAAATAAAAAGCAACATCATCTCCGTCCCACGCGCTACGTTTTCCTCTCGCATCATGCAAGCTTGCACCAGGTGTGCCAGCAAGCCTACAGGCTAGGCTATTACGCATGGAGTCTGCATCCTACAATGCTGGCCCAGGCATTCTGGGCCTCACTTGGGCAGCAACGGGTGTAGCAACCCTCATCATGCTGTTGAGGCTCATTGCGAAGCATCGTATTCGCAACCTTTCTTGGGACGATGCAACCATGGTCTTTGCTTATGTATGGAACCTCTTGCAACTATCATACAAATCCGCTTACAATGGCAGGCTTTGGCTATTGCGTCTTCCATTCTTATCACCATAGCCATCTCTCACGGATATGGACGACATGGTTACGAACTCGATCGAACGGACCGTATATTGACTACAAAGCTCTACACGGTGTTTCAATGCGTCACAATCGTCAGCACGGGCACAGGAAGGGTCGCTTTCGTGTTATATTTAATGCCCATATTCCGACACAAATATCTCACTGGACATCTACTGTGGCTCATATTAGCCCTTCAACTCATCGCCAATTACGTCAGTCCAGTGACTATTCTGGCCCGGTGCTCTGATATTCACGCTATCTGGGATGCTAGTGTGAAGGGCAAATGCTGGAATCCAAATACTCTGATCATATATAGCTACGTGCAGTGCAGTAAGCGTCCATGCCAATATTGTTCCAATAAATGGCACTAATCATGGATTTCACAGCTATTAATACAGCCACCGACCTTTACCTCGCAATATTCCCCGCATACACATTGTTGAGTCTAAACCTCAAGCGACGGACAAAGGCAATCCTCATCATTCTGATGAGCCTGGGCCTCATGTATGTACTCTTGCTATTGTCAAACCCAACACAACCCTAACCGACTTTTCAGCGCCATGGTAGGATCGATCATGCGGATCATTAATCTCCCCTCCCTCTCCATCATCGATGATGAATCGGCCGCAACGAACCGCTTGACAATCTGGGCATTGCTAGAATGCTACTTGGTCATCACGACGGCATCGATTCCCTGTATCCGGACCTTGGTGTTGGATTCTGTACGACTGCTAGTTAACAGCAGTCGATCACGGTCGCATCGGGAGGCAGATAGTAGGAGGACAAAGCAGAACACCTGGGGCGATTATCACATCTCGCGAAGCCACCGTGTAGCAGTGAGGGATGATGTCGAGGACAGACGGCACATTCTGGGTGATGTTGAGTTAGGACGGTACAGTCGTACCGGGATAAGCAAGTTGGTTGAAGTGACTGTTGCGGAGGAGTCGATACCAAAATGGATATGATAGAAAAAAGCTGGCAGCTTTAGCTACAATATAATACATTAATATAGTCTCGTGGTATATATGTTACCAGTACTTTCAGTAGGTTTTAAGAAGTACCTATTACGGGGGACACGAACAATACTTTTTGTCTTTAGCTTCCAGCGCTACTGCTACACGTAGACCGCTGTACAGACCACGATGAAAACACTACGAACTCAGACATTAATTCTGTATATATCTCCTCAATGTCGTCCCACCCCCTAACGGACCTATGACGGGTAGAATTACTCCTCATCCACACCATCCCCACCCACCACTTCACTTTCCCCAACAGCAACCGGCATGTCCATAACCGGCCCGTAATAAATCTTCCTACCCCTGACCAGATACCACCCCAATCCCAGAAGAAACTCCCCCATAAAAACCACAATGGACCAATTCATATTTGTCGGCGTGACCGGCAACTCTTCGGGAAAGAATGAGAAGAAGATGGTGATGGTCAAGAAACAGATCGAGCCGATATTGATCAGGATTCCCCAAAGCCTACCCATCTTCCATGGGCCATACTGGAGGGGTTCGTTCTTGAGCTTCTTGATGAGGATTAGTACGATCGCAATCTCGTATGAAGAGAAGAGGCCCGCTGTGGTCAGGGAGATCATGGCGTTGAAGGCCGCGCTGGAGCCGATGTTGATGAGACAAGTGATGGCTGTGATTATGGCGCAGAGGGCGATGGCGCGGAGGGGGAGGGCGGAGCCGGACGCCCTAGAGTTTATCTATTTTAGTTACGTTAGTAATGATGTTTTCTTTAAAGCAAGGAGGAGGTGTTTTCGTACATGAGATAGGAAATCAGCGAATGGAATTCCCTTGTCCTTCGCTAGTGCCCAGGTAAGACGTGATGAGGAGGCCAGAAACCCGAACGAGGCGCAGATAGTCAGCGCAATTACGATGGCGGTCATTACAGATGTTCCGGCGTGGGATTTTGTCGCGTTGAAGAATACTTCGATGAAGTCGTATCCTGTTGCGCTGTCGAGGGCGGCATCGAGGTCGCCGACGCAGAAGAGGAAGGCTAGGACCATGGCGAAACCGAGGACGCCGTTTAGCATGATGGTCGCGATCATGCACCAGGGGACTATAACCGAGGCGTTCACTACCTCCTCCGCTGCAGATGTGTGTTAGATATGAGTTGAGTTGTAGTTGGGATGTGGTCGAGGACATACACATGTGACAAGGGCCATCATATCCTGGGTTACAGAGTCAGTTAGATCGATTGAGTCCACGCGAGGAGTGTGAGCGTACCAATAAATGGAAGATTCGTCCCCATCAGCCCAATCAGCCAGGTAAGTCCAGAGCTCTTCCATCCCGAAGTATTGGTGAAGTCTGCAAAGACGAATTCGGCGTTCTTGTGCGGAGCCAGATAAACCAATGGGATTAGGATGGCTAGGAAGCCGGCGGTATGGAGAATGAGAATTAGGCCTTCGATCTTGGGTAGGAGCCTTGCCCCGAAGGAGTTGACCAAAAGGCAAATCACCAGCGCCGCGAACATGAGCAGGGTTCCATGCCAACGTTGAAAGTCGTATCCGTCATAGTTCAACACCAGAAGGCCCTGCAGGACGGTGGCAGCGAAATACACACCCGACGCAGTGTTGGCCCACCATCCGATCATGTCCAACCATCCAGTTACCCAGCTGAGAAAGACAGCCTGGCCTTTAGGGGCGAGGATTGACACCCAGTGATATTGACCTGCCGACGTGGGGGCCCTGTGTGACAAATGTCTTAGTGTTGTTCTTTTCAAAGGCCGTCTAAAGGGGCTGCTACATCGAGGCCATTTCGGCAAGAGAGGCTGCTGTTAACAAAGCTCCAATCCAGCAGAAGATAAACCCGTAGACGAGGGTTGCTGGTCCTCCGTCAGTCATGGCTGCTGGATTAGCGCTGTACTATTAATCAGCTGCCTGACATTCGACAGTGGAGATGTTGACACTCACGTAAGGACTGCCTCCCAAGTACACATCATCGTGGTTGTGAAGCCCAGCATCGACAGGAACCCGAAGTTTCTCTGCCTACATTAGTTGCGACGTAGAGACACTGAATGAAGGCTCACCTCGAAACGCTGTTTTCTGCCAAACTTTGCCATGTCTGCATCATCACGATCCTTGTATTGCCGGGAGCCCAGCTCCTGGATTGCCATAGCTCCATGTTTGAAAGACATTATGTTGCTTCACTGGACATCAATATGGAAGTCAACAAGGCAAGACAGAAAAACAAGAATGGCAGGGAGAGAAGAGAAGGAAAGAAATATTGGTGTACAACTATGGGGAATGCTATTAAGTTGCAGGTTTGCTGCACGATAATTAGGTCAAATATCCACACGGGGATTG